ATTGTATAAATATTATTGTATAGGAACAATAAAAATGATATATTCTATGTATTGGATAGACATTTTTAATTCTTTCTACATCATGCTGCAAAATAGAAGATAAAATATTATTTCTCTGCCTCTTGTTTTTCATTGAAAATAGATGGCTGTTCTCACTAGACATGGGGAAGAGAACCATAATTTTCTTCCCAAGAATGACACTAGAATTATGTTATCTTTTGATACCCCTTTTGAGAAATTATAATTCAAATAGCATAATGTTATGCTGCTACATCTTGAAATGGCAGAAGTAATTTATGCTGTTTCCTCAGAATTAATCATGATCTCACCTCAGTCAGATTTCTCAAAATTGAAAAAGATGAAAGTTATTTCCTTCAAATGCAGTTCTTATTCTAGTTCTGACTACGATGGGTGTCAGCAACCCACATGTGGTTCTTTGGGCCTTGTGCTGTGGCTCTCTGTCCCATTGCTGGCTGGCCCTGCCCCTTGCCCTCCTCTCCCTTGCGTGGCCTGAGAAGGTAAGGGTGACAGCGGGGGATGGAGAAGCAGCCGGGGCTGATTTTCTGGCACCTCACTCTTGCTGGAGCTTCTTCTGGCCCTTGTTGGTGCAAGGTATGCTTTGGTCACTTGGGTTGATGTGCAACCTGGTCTCTGCCCAGAGACACTGGCCCTATCTGGCCGTGACTGATGCTGGCCTCACAAACACAAGGGCTGGCAGGGTAGGAATGGGATCTGGGAAGAGGGGATGACGGAAAGGGGGACAGGCCCACAGGACCCAGCTGTGGTTTAAGAAGCTCAGGACAGCAAGAAAAGAGGGCTGGCTCCAACAAACCTTGCAGGCCCACCCCGGGGGTCAGGCTCAGAGAAAGCCAGAGCCCTTGCCAAAGACACTCGCCCATCAGCCAGTCTCCCCCGCTGAGTATCTGTATCTGTCTGTTCCCCCCTCTCCCCCTCTCCCCCTCCCTCCCTCCCTCCCTCTCAGAAAGCCATGGCTGGGCCAAGCCAGCAAGCTCTCCTTGAGGCTCTTTGCTACTCCTTTTCTTTCTTCTTTTTGGAAATCCAGGCTGGCTGAGGAATGAGCAGGAGCCACGGCAGAGGCTTCTCTCCCCCCTCCTTCTCCTCTCGCAACCCACTGGCCAGTTGTGGCGGGGCAGGTATAGTGTGCACATGGAGGGAGACCCTCCTCAAGCAAGTAACCGCACACCTTGCATGCACCTTTAGAATTAGAAGCCAGTTTTGACTTTGATTAGAGAAAGACAATAGAAAAAATTAGTGACTACTAATAAACCTCTCATTTATCAACTAATAGATTGACTCAAATATAGTTAATAAAAATTTCAGGTCAAATTGTGAGTTCATAGACTTGTTCAATTAGCTTTCTTGGCAATAAATAAAAGGGTTTTGCTCTTTTGTTTTTTTAAATCAGTGTTGCCATGTCTTTGGAATGCAAATACATTCAAGTACTATGAACGATTATATGCAGATATTATGACACTTCTTTCAGTTATAAGATATATAACTGCTGAGAAGTACTGCAAAGGAAAAGAACATAGTATCAACTGTGCTAAAGAAAAAATATAGTATTTAAAAAATAGTAAAAAAAGAAAGATGTCAAAACAGTGCAGTAGGTTGACTGTCAGTAAAAAAATGTACCTTCACAAAGTTTTAAGAATTTCTGTGATGATGGGTTGTTGTTGTTTTTTTGTGAGTATCACAGCAACAGGAAGGTCTCTCTGCAACCAGACCCTCCCCTGATCCTAAGGATCTTTAACTGCCACTAACTAAGCACTGAAAGTGACAGACAGAATAAGCAGAAATGAAGATCTAGAAGAGGGTTCACAGCAAGCCACAGCTTGACATCAAGCCAAATGAAAGAAAGTAACAGTGGGAAGCTTGCATCTGACAACTGCAATTATTCTTATCCAGAGTGCCCATAGTTCAATGTTAATTAAGATTCATTAGGAGTCTACACACACAAAAAAACTAGACTTTCTTGTGTTTAATAACTCCTATTCCTTTCTCTCTCAACCTTGTCTTTACAAACTTTGGAAAAGCATAATTTTTGCCCTCTCAGCAGAATTTTGGTTGACCACTCATTATCTATTGATACTGTATTAAAAGATATGGCATATGACATGCTTAGGCAAGTCCAACTTCATCTGGAACATGGTAGCGGTAGCTCCTTTAAGAAGAAAGTTCATTTTAAGACATTTCCCGTCTTTTGTGTGTGTGTGTGTGTGTGTAAAGCTGCCCTTGAAGGGTTTATTTACACGAAACACACAAAAACCTGACTATCAATCATTCTATCCATGGTTCTACTTAGCTACTGCTTGCTTGACATACAGATGTCTACAGCCAGAAAAATAATAGTACATTTTTTTTCAGAGACTGTGATTTGGCTCAGGGCCTAGCGTTACCAGTGAGCTTTGCTTTTTATGTGCATTTTGCTTATTTAATTGACCAGAAACGCAAATTGCTGGCACCATAGTACACCACAGCTCAGCCAGCAAGCTTCTTAGCTTGCATTGCTCAGATACAGATATGAGCAGAAATGTATAAAACGCAAACACTGTTTCTTAATACAATTGAAAAAAAGAAATTATATCAAGATACGATTTAGTTTTAGAGAGCTGTAGCAAGGATAATATTTAACAGTTTGTCCCATAATACTCGAAGGAAAAAAAAAGGTCATAGAAGGATTAATTAAAGCCTCTTTTTGCAGAGTCATAAAAAGGCTAACATGTAAAAAAGACACCTAAAGTTTTGAACCCTCTTCATTTTCTTTATAAGGTTTCCAGAAAAACACTTGTTAGCAAAATTACCCTCACAGTGTTTTATCAGTTGCTATGGAGAAAATGGCACAATTTTTGCTGTCCAAGTTAATTCAATGATCCTTGCATCCAAAATTGTAGTCATATTATTTTCCATGTTTCTTTGGTTTGATCAAGTAAAGTGTATGCATTTTCTTTTTGCTCATCATCAGCTAGTTTTTCAATTACTGTTACTGTATATAGTTTACAGTTTGAAGTGGCTTACTGATCTGTGCATGGGATGTATGATTTGATTTGGAATTGGTTGTGATAGTTCTCAGGCTATAATGTTGTTCTATAATGTAATAACTTTAAAAAACCTTTCAGTGTATAGATTTTAAGATTTTTTTAAAAAAAAATGTAATATCTATCTACTGTTAGGTGTTCTGTCCACTATCCACAATTGTAGTCCAAGATAAACTGACTTTGTATTGAAGATGAAAATACACTCTGATGGCTTCTTGTGGGCCCAATATCCTTTTTCTGAAATTGCATGATATTATCATGGTTTTAAAGTAGCTTAGTCAAGAAAATTCTCATTTCATTCCCCAAGGCATGCCAGGGAAGGCAACAGTAATATAATCATTTCTTTATCTTAGAAACAAATGAAGGCTTAATTCACTTTTAAATAATACTAAACATTTTGATAGAGAACCTGTAAGCATTAATTGCACATTGTTCATTGTGGATGGCCAACAGTGACAGATAAATCAGTGAAATTATTAGTTCTTGATGCAGTATGAACAATCTAACATAGCTTATGATGGATTTCAAAATATGGTGGCATAAATGGTTGAATGTTCATGCCTGTTATTCTATGTGACCTCCTTCTCACAAAATCCTTTCTTTTACACATTTGGAATTAACAAAATCTGTAACTTATCTTTAATTTCTGTCTTGTTATTCACAAATCTCCTTAGTATTTATGTAGCTTTAACATAAGACTGAATCCTAATTAACAGGCAATCAAGCCAGCCATCTGGAAAATCAGTTCATACTCACCCAAGGGCCAACACAGATGTGATATAAGATACACAGAGAAATAATTATTTGATTGTATTAGGGAGAGAGGAAAGTTTTGCTATCAAAATTCTATCACCAAAAATGTTCTTTTCCACACAAAGGTAGTGTTCATTGGTAGAAACAATTCTTTATTCTGTGTATTTATTAAACATCTTAAATGGTATAGAATTAAGTGTAAGGCATCCAGAAAGTATCCATGATATCAATCACTCTGAGACATTTTCTCTCCAATTGATTTATTTAGAAACAGATCTGGCATGTTAAAGGCAATTTCCCAAGTGAAATTATGTTTGAGTGTTACACAGAGTCCACCTTCTCTCCTCCCTTCTCTCCTCCCACTTCTACACTTCATAAATCACTGGAATTTCTTAATACGACATACAGAATAACCTTGAACTTTTCAACTCCTCCAACTCTCTTAAAAAATGTGGCAGCTGAATTTTAAAGCTGACATTAAGACCATATGAGATGAATAAATTGAAACTTTATTTTTTTTTAAAGAAATAAGAGCAATACAAGACAGATTTCAATTTCAGCCAGCCCGTGAATAGAGAGAAAAATGAATGTATCAGAGAGGTGTTTTTTTTTAAATTGTATCACTGAAGAAGTGGATCATCCCATCTCTCCAGGGATAAAATAAGATGCAGTTATTGAAGACCCTACAAATGGGACTTGTCAACTATATAATCAATAGAGATGGGCTGAATCCATGGCCTTTTGAAGCTAATCAAAGGCTTGGGCAGATTTATATCTGAAAAGACCATTTTAATTGAGACAACAGCCATGTGGGAATAATCTCTTCTCTCTATGTTTCTTTTCTATTCAGAATCAGAATTTCCCTTGATACTATTAAAGCAGCAAACAAAGAACTATCAGAAGTCATTCTACATCTTTCCTGCATCATTATGTCTATTCTGTCAGTAGTGTAGCTGTGCTGTTGAGCTATGATCGTCTCCATTCTCTCTCAGGAGTCACCAATATTTATCAAAGGGTCAGTTCATCTATTCTAATGTCTTAACCCCAACTTCCACAGAGCTGATAATGCTCTCCTTGTTGGGTTACTTCATGCTACAAATGACTGAACTTTAAATATTAAAAATTAGCAAAATTAATCCTCCTTTAGCATCTGCTTTCTAATATGCAGGCTGTAGTCTAAAATAGTACAAGTTAAATCTTTATCTGTCTCCAAAATGAAGGAAAGAAAAGCTGCAGTGGAGTAACATGATAACTATGGAAATCAGTTTCAAATATTTATTTTTGTTTATTATTTATTAATTGAATTATTTGCCACCCATCTTGCCATAAGGCAATTCTTTATTGAGCTTTGGTGAGTCAGTATATCTTAGTCCAACCAGAGAGTCCTTATTGTGAAGATAAAATGGAAACAGATAATTATAGATGCCATTTTGAACTTATTAGAACTCTTTGAAAAAAAGAGCTTGAATTTAATGAATTCACAAGCAAGTTTGACTTCCTTTGGTTAACTTTTTAGTCTTGTTCTGGTATTCAGTTATTCATACATATTTGAATATATGTAAAGGAAAAGAGTAATAATTTAACACTATAGCCATTCAAGCACTATGTCAGAAAGGGAAGGGAAGGAAAAAGGACTCCATGCAATATTTTAAGTCACTGAGGATCGGATATCTACAAGTAATCTCCTTTTTTAGACTTCTACTCCCATCACAGATATAAATGGCCCACCATCATCCACAGGTGAACTGTATGAATAATGAATATCGAAAGAGGCTTTTCAGTGACTTGATTATCTTCTATTTTCTGCTTCATTCTCAGGAGCTTTGAAGCCTATTAATCAGACATTAATTAGAACATTTAAAGAAAAGAATCTTTGCAATTTTAGTATGATCTTTGCCACAAATGAGGATTGGAAGCCAAATTCCTTCTAGAAAAGTTATATTACAGTACAAAGTAAAATACAATAAAAATATAACAATATAGTACCCAACTTACTATTAAAACACTCTACCCATGTGGCTTACATTATAGTTATGTGTTAGCTATTATTATTTATTATCCATCCTTTTATAACTTTCAGATCAGACAATGTTTCTTTTAGCATTTTGATTGTTCAGTTCTCTTCTACTACTTTCTTTGCCCATATATAATTTTGAAAAAAACATTTAAGATTGTACACCGCATACATTTCTAAATTCATCTCCCTTTTCCATTTTCACATCTGCACCTATATGTTCATTAAATTATATATTATATAAGTATGCATATAGCATTAATATCAAATATGGGGCTTCATGAACATGCATTTGTACGTACAGTACATTTTCTTCCATGTTTCTTTTTCCCCAACCCAGTTTAATTTTATCTATCCCTAACAAGTATCTAAAACTGCAGAAAGTCTCATCTTAATTTATTATATCATATAGATACATTATCTTATATTGGAATTCACTATACTTTGTGGATTCCTTATGCATCCCTATTTATGGCTTTGGAGAAATACAGAGTTTGAAATGTTTCAGTACAATGGCTCAGATTTTGAAGTGAAATGCAAAATGAAATACTCCAGCTATCCCAAACTACTCTGAGGCAAGCCCTTTCAACCTTGAATACTGACTTTGACATAGTGTGGATCTGAAAAAGTCATAACTTCATCTGATCTGCCATATATTTTTAGAAGCTCACCTGATGTGATAAAATTTTGTTTGTCACTTGCTAGCAACTCTGGCTGCACAGACAAATTGTTCTCTGAACTGAACAACAAATCCTCATTCTTTAAAATTATACATTCTATATGCATATTTCGCTAATAAACGTTTTTCCGATTTTTTCCCAATATGTTAATTTTTGCAATTTGAAGTTTTTGTTCTGTGAGTCGCAGTGCATACTTCAACAAAGTCTGCAGTCCAAAGAATAACCATATTCTGATTCTATGTACTGTATCTAGGAAGCATAAAATAAGGATCAAGCAAAATCATCCCCCTTGATTTTTAATGAGTTATCAGTATCTATATTACCCTATTTTCTAAATATTTTTAATTGCAGAAATATTCTTATTACCCCTTGTCATCCTGCAGAATTCCCTTTTTAATTCATCAACCTTTATTTCTGAAAAAACAATTTCTTTTCAACATTTTACTATTTCCGTATTTCTTTATTTCATGCACCTGTTTCTTACTGCTTCTCCTCCCCCTCTTTTCCCCATATCTTTTCTCATTCCAGTTTATATCCCTCTCTTTCTTAATATCTTCCTTTCCCCTTTTCTGCTGGGTCTTTCTGCCTTTCCTGGCTTCACAGGTATTCCCCCTTTTGATTGCCTTCTTAAATCTCAACTTTTTAGCCTTCCTTCTTTCCCCACTTCTTTGTAGTGTTCTTTGTGTTAATTGTCTATTTAAAATGTCTTCTCTTTGAATCGACTCCTCTTCCTCTGAAGCTCTTTCTTCTTGTTCTTCAAACGTCATTTCCATTTTTTCTAACACAGAGCAAAGTGATTTGCCTCTTTCCTGTAGTAATTCTCTCATATTTTTAACTTCCATTTTTAATTCCCAAAGAGATATCATCATTACACACTCTTATATTTTATGATCATTAAAGTCCACAAAAAGCCACTTTTACTTTCCTTCTTTCTTCTTTCAATTTCTAAAGTTCTCAGTTATTCCAGCCCAGGGTCTATACCAAAAACATCAATCAACCCCACAGTCAGTCTTTCCTTGCTTTTTTCTTTTTTCTGGTTCTGCTTTCAATTTCCAAGATTCTTACTTTGTTTCAATATTTCTTTAATCCACACAAGTTCATTCAGAAACAGGATGCTTTCCCTTTTGTTTGAGCTCAAATTTTTGTCAAAAGGTGGCACTCTCCATTATACAAAGTCTTCACCTTTTCCCCCTGTTTTTTTATTTAGAGTTTTTCGAATCTCAATATTCCAGCACAGTCCGGTCTCCAATTTGTGAACTTTATGATTATTTTTTGACAATCTTAAGTCCAGCTTTATTTTATTCCTGTTTATTCCCAAAACATTTTAGTCCAATTTAGTTAAATCTTTAGTTCCAGCTTCTTCCTTTCCCGGTTCGAAGCCCTGCTTAGCTGTCAAAAATATTTTCTTCTTTTTTGTTCCTGTCCCTTTGTAATTTCGCCGCTCACTTTTCTTTTCTTAAAAATTCCATGTTACCTTAATCCCAGGGTACTTTTGTTTAGTTGTATTGCCCAGTTGTCCTGGTTCAGATGTTATCCACCTCTTTCTTCCCTCCTGCACAAATCTTATTCCAGCTGAGTCCTCTTCTTCGGGTGGCCATTTTAAACCACTGCTGCAGTTGTCTTCGGGGGGAAAAGACCAAGCCCAGGGGGGGAGATGCGGCTCCTCTCAACCTGGCTTGCAGCTTCCCCTTACTCTGCCGCCACTCCAAGACAGCCTCAGCCCCTAATCGTAATGATCGGGGCTCTCCAACGAAAGAGCACAGACCATAGCCACAGAGAGTTGTGATCTATGGTCCATCAATGAGGAGGCTCCACCTTCTTCCAGCTTTTTTATTATCTCCTTTGAATGGCTGGTAAATGTGATTTATCTCTGTCTCTATTGATGATTTTTCTGAGTACCAAGTTTCCAGGAATTTCCTAGCATATTTGATTTTTGCTTGGTCCAGGATGCTCACAATTTCCAAGTTGAAACAATGGTTGAGTTTGTCCATATATTGTGAGATGTGTTGTGGGATTGAGAATCAGGGACTCTGCAGTTCAACCCTGAGCTACATATATTCTTTTATATTAGAAACCATATTTTAATTCTGTGTGCCACTCCATAACTTTCTTCCAAATACTCATTCATAGATTTAACATATTAAATGTTTAAATGCAGATATACTATCATGAAGTTTTTATTTATTTAATATTTTTTGGTGGGAAAGTTTATCCTTCCTGGCTTCTCCAAATACCAGTAAATATAAAACTGGGTTTTTTGTTTTGGACTTAGTAAAGGGAGCCTAATTAGCAATCTAGGATGCCTGCAGTAAGAGTTGTTATTTTTTTAAAAAGGTGACACAAGTACTAGAAATTCTTCTTTCCCATTTCTGAGCTTGAAAGTTAATTGGATTATCCAGCAATCTTTACAACTAAATGGTATCCAGGAGTTTTAAAAAGAGATTTAAATTACTTGGCACCAATAGCACCTTCAGAAACAATCAAGATAATAGATGCCACCAATTTCTCTGTTATTGATTAAGTGTTTGGTTCCTATCTTTTGTTCAGACTATGCAACTAAAGCAGGATAGCACAATCTTCCCCCAATTTAGCAGTATATATAGTTACATATTTTTATCCTGTAACTTTTCTTAGTTCTGGAGACTTCCAAACCTTGGATCTCTTCTGAGGAACAATATTAGTGAATGTAGAAATATATTGTTTAGTCTGCATTTTTAAAAAAACAAATCAGCCTAATTCCTACTATGTGGCCACTATGTGATATTATTTCTTATATACATTTTTGAAATTTTTCGTAGAAGTTTTCAAAATCAACTATACAAACAAACACAGCTGAGAGTATATACTTAAAATACTTATGAACATGCATATTTCAGGCGACGGTATGTTTGTTTTTGTTACATCAAAACATACATGTGTTATCTAGGGTGACATAAAATACAACCAATGACATAAAGTGCTTAATTAAAATTAATGTATTGCTTTTTCTATTTTTGGCTTTCTGATTAATGTTTTCTTCCTTGAATATGTTTCTACACTTTTATTTAGCCTTATAATATAATCAACTTGATTATTGGCCATGAGGTAAATACTTTCTGTAGGGAATGTATCACTAGCAATAATATTCTATTCTATTCTGAGCAAGCTAAGAGGCCATTTCAAAGAATTATTACATATGCAGATTCAGTAAAGCAAGACAAAGAAAAGTTTCTCATTTGATTTAATATTTTATAAAGTTAAAGGAAATGGGAGAAGGAAAAATCCAAGTCTAAACTGAAAATGATGTGGTCAGAATGATATAGTTTTGAAAATGGATGGCTTCAAAAAAAATTTCATTGAGGGATAGAAAAACAAGGACAGCATCATGAATTACCCAGACCTATGGAGCTCAGCCAACATAATTTTGTGACAGATACTATAAAGCCCTCCATAAAAATACTAATGAGTGGTTCCTCGACTGCATCTGTGATAAAGACATATTAAACAGAATTCACTGACAAACAGCTATC